TGGTGCCTTTAGTTGCTTCTTCCTGTTCTGGGATTCCTATGAAGTGCATATTATTATTCTTGATGGTGTCCCACATTATTCTTAGGTTTTCTTCTTTTTCCTTCCTTTTTGAGTCTTCTTTTTGTTTTAGCAGATTCTATCTGCTAGAACAAAATTGTCTAGTGACAATTATATCTTCAGTTTCACTAATTCTGTGTTCCTTCAACTATGTTCATATGTCCCTCTATCATGTTGTGGTTTCTTGTTTTTCCAGAGCTTCTAATGCCCCATTTGTTTTATCTGCATTGTTTTGGATTTTTTTTTAAGATCTTCCTGGTTTTTGCTTGCAGTGTCCTGTAATTCTTCAAGTTTGTCTTTCACCCATTGAAAATATTCAATCATTGTTCTTTTAAATTCTCTGTCAGAAAATTCCATCAGACTTTCTGGCTTCAGCAAATCTATTGGTATCGTCAGTTTTTTGGGGGTAACATCTTGCTTTCTTCTTGTGTAGCTTGTGAGGTGGTCTGTTTCCTTCTTGATGATGCTGTGGTAGGGTTTTTCATGCCTAAGGTGATGTTAGGTTCTTGATCTGAAATCACTGCTACAGATTAGGGTATATCAGTTATGTTTCTTGCATTCCTCTCTGGATTTCTGAACCAAAGCAAGTGTCCATTGAACCAAAGCAAGTGTCCATTCATAGCCTGTGAAAGTGGCCTATTCTGTTTAATAACTGTTACAGCTAAGTCAGGCCAAGGTGCTCCAGATTAAAGGCAGTTAGTTGACTGGCCCTGAGATTATGTGAGGGTAATGGGAAGGGAGGAACAGGCCAGGTATGCACCATCACAGGTGTATGCTGGGTGGTTGGGGAGGGGGGCAGCATGCACAAGCACAGGTTTATGCTGTATGGTTTGCACCTGGTGGGGCTAGCTGTCCAGGTGGGCACGTGGGAAGACCTCACTCAGTTTGCAACTGTCCCTCTCATGCCCAGCTGTGCTACCTGTCTGGGTAGGGATCTGCATTACCTGCGCAAAAAACTCACTCAGTTTGTAGATGTGCTGTTAGCGCTTGATGGGGCTACCTGCCCCTGTGGGGACTCACAGGGACCTCACTCAGATTGCAGCTGTACAGCTCACGCACATCAGGGCTGGCTTCCATGTAGTCACATGTGAGTACCTCAGTCAGATTGCAGATGTCCAGAGGCGGTGGGCCATTGCAGGGTCACGGCATGGTAGGTCACTCTGGGGTTGCAGCAGTGGCGGGGTCCTCCCTTCTTAATTTTAAGCCATGCACTGTTTCCCTGCTCTGTTGTGTGCTGAAGCTATTCAATAAAGACTTAACACATTTCCTGCCAGACATTTTCAGCATGTAGTATTTAGGCACATCCATAGTGTCAGTTTTACCTCAGTAAAGATTGGGTGTTTTGTGCTCTGATGACCTAGTGAGTATGGAGTTGTACTGCTAACCCAAAGGGGGTGACTCTATGGTAGTTTGGATCCATATTCGCTTCATAGGAGAAAGATGGGCAGTCTCCTCCCATACAATTTACTGCCTCTGAAAATCCACTGGAAGGTTGTCTACACATGGATACTGACTTGATGATACTCAACAACAGCAACAATTTTTCTCTGGGTATGCTATCAGGAGACACCAGCCCTTGGAAAAAGACATGATGCTTGGCAAAGTAGAAGGTCAGCAAAAGAGAACAAGCACCTCAACAAGATGGATTGACATAGTAACAGTAACAACGGTTTTGGGTATGGGAAAGATTATTAAAAGGGGGCAAATTTGTTAGTCATAGGGATGTGATAGATTATTGTTAACTCAATGGAACCTAATAGCAACTCTTACTGTCTGGGCATTTATCCTGAGCATATTTTCCTTTGCCATGCTTGTCTATTCTTCCCTTTCCAATCTGATATTTATTTGCATTGACATAAAATGTCAAGATTCAAAATGAGGAAGAAATAGAACAAGAGTATCTAATGAAGTCCTAGCCTCTCTTGTAAAGCCTTTGGTAAGTGATGGGTGTTGATGCCTTATAGCCAACACTCTGCAAGAGCAATACTTAAAAGATTTTCTATAATTTGGAGATGATGCCTCCAGATGGTCATCATGTGTCACTACCATAAGCTCAAAACTAATCTGAAGTTTTCTCAGTGTCATCTGTCATTCTCCAGTTGCCCTGAAATAGAGTCTCTAGCTCTTCTTCTTCTTCTTCTTCTTCTTCTTCTTCTTCTTCTTCTTCTTCTTCTTCTTCTTCTTCACTCCTGATGTGCTGTCTTTGGTCAAAATATTTTTTTAATTATCCTTCTGATGGCCTACTGGTAGGAATCTGTGCTGCAATCCCGAAAGCAAGCACTTTGAATCCACCAGCTGCTCTGCAGGAGAAGGATGGGCAGTCTCTCCTCCTGTGTGATTAATTGCCTCTGAAAATCCACAAGAGGATCAGCTATGAGTTGGCTCTGACTCAGTGATACACAACAACATCATAATCTCACTTGGGGCTTTAGCTTTTCCAACTCTAGATAACAAATCTGTGCTATTCTTGTGTATGCATGTATAGACAGGCAACCATCCTCTTATTCATATATGTCCCTTGAAAACCTAGAACCACTGAAGAATTGTTTATTTTATATAGCCAGTCAGGGGTTTGGTTGTTGGGGTTTTTTTTGTGCCTAGTTCTGAGCTAGCATCAAATTTTGATTCCTACGAAACTTTCTTTGATGTCACATCTTCTTCTTCTTATATCTTCCTATTATCTTTAAAAATGTATTTCTAATTTATAATAAATTTCACTCTATGTATGCACAGTTTCAAACATTTTTAATTGAGATTTTAATGAAAGTTTATAAAGAACTTGAATTTCCATGAATTCACTGTTGCACATTTTCCTCCCTGTCCCCCCTCTCCCCAGTTCACATATTTCTTTGAAAAAAGAGTTTTCATTGTTATATAGTCCCCCACCCCAGACCACTTTACTATGTAGCTCTTATTCTTGACTCTTGTTATGCCAATAATACCTAACCATGCCAAGAAGAAAAAGATTCTCACCACTGGACCAATTGGCAGCGTCAGGATGGATGGCGAAGAGATTGAGATTGTTCACAGCTTCAGTTTGCTCGGCTCCACAGTCAACACTCTTGGCACCAGCAGTCAGGAAATCAAAAAGCGTATCGCGATGGAAAAGTCTGCTGTTAGGGACCTCTCTAAAGTACTCAATCAAGAGCAATGGTGTCTCTCTGGAGACTAAGGTGTGCCTGATACAGGCCATGGTCTTTGCAATCACTTGTTATGCATCAGAGAGTTGGACAATGACTAGGGGGGACAGAAGGACAATTGATGCCTTTGAGCTGTGGTGCTGGAGAAGAGTATTGAATGTACCATGGACTGCCAAGAAAACAAACAGATTCATCCTGGAGAGGGTTAAACCAAGCAACTCCTTGGAGGCAAGGATTCTGGGGCTTCGTCTGACATACTTTGGGCATGTTGCCAGGAGGGATGGGTCTTTAGAGAGGGACATCATGCTTGGGAGGGTGGAGTAATGGCGCAGGAGGGGAAGACCCTCTATGAGATGGATTGATTCAGTGACTGGGGTAATCGGGATGGGTGTGTCAGAGGCAGTGCGGTTAGCACAGGATAGAGCAGGGTTTAGAGCTGTTGTGCATAGGGTCACTATGAGTCACAAACGACTCGACGACACATAACAACAACAACAACAACACAGTTATCTCCCTCCTCTGTTTCAATGCCATGTACATTATTTATCCCTTCTTTTCTTAGTTTCCCCCCAACCCACATGTCAGTCCTATTTTATAACAGTGGCATTATACAGCATTTGCCTTTTGGTGACTGAGATATTTCACTCAGCATAATGTCCTCCATGGTCACCCATTTTGTATAATATTTCATGTGTTCTTTGTTTTTCAGTGCTGCATAATATTCCATTGTGTGAATATACCACAACTTCTCTAGCCATTCATTTCTTGATGGGCACTTGGGTTGTGTCCAACTTCTTTGCTATTGTGAACAATGCAGCAATAATCATGAGCGTGCATATATCTGCTTGGGTGGAAGTTCTGGTTTCTTTAGGGTAAATTCCCAGTAGTGGAATTGCTGGGTCCAATGGTGTTTCTATTTCCAACTTTTTGAGAATGTGCTATACTGCCTTCCATAGTGGTTGCACCATTTTACACTCCACCAACAGTGAATAAGGGTTCCAGCTTCTCCACAACCTTGGCAACATTTGTTGTTTGCTGCTCTGTTAAATTTTGCTATTCTCGCTGGCGTGAGATGATATAGTTGTTTTGAGTTCCAAACATTTTTGACAAATGACAAGTCAGGTAATCCTACCATAGAACCCAAGGAAACAGTTCCATTACTTAAAAATTTGCAACCTTTGGGGTTGGCTATCCCTTACCCCGACAGTCTCACACAACCACTGATGTGCCCCTATATTTTTGTCTTTTCCAGAATGTCACATAAAAAGAATGCTACAATAGATAATCTTTGCCCCACTACCTCCACCTTTTGAATCTAGCTTCCTTCACTTCACAAAATACATTTGAGATGTATCTATGTGGAGTTTGTATCATTACTTCAAACCTTTGAGTGGACAACACACAGAATGTTTAACCATTCACCTAGTGAAAGACATTTGAGTTGTTTACAGCTTTTGGTGATTATAAATAGAGATACTTTAAACATTTGTGTAGAGGCTGTTGTATGAGCTCTGGTTTTCATTTCTATTGAGTAAATACCTAGAAGCATGATTGTAGAGTCATATGGTAAGTGTATTTCCCCCCTTACATCTGAATGCCCAGTTATCCAGCACCATGAGTTGAAAAGACTATCTTCCCTACATTTAATTGCTTTGCCACCTATGTCAATATTCAATTAGCCATATTTATAGAAATATATTTCTGGTATATTTTGCTCCATTGTTCTATGTGTCTGTCCTATCTCTAATACTACAGTGATTTGATTCCTTATACCACTAATTTATGTTTCTTCTATTGCTACAGTCCCCCGATGGTGTTATACATTAAATATCCAGGATGGAGAAGCCACATGCTACTCACCAAGGGGAGGAAATTATCACAGCAGCCTGGGAACTCGTTGTCAACTCACCTGTGACCAAGGTTTTCAATTGATTGGACAGAGGTCAGTGCAGTGCCTCCAAAATCGCCGTTGGTCGGGAACGGCCTACTGCAGGCGTAAGTATTATATGTCTTCATATGCTGATGCATATATGTGAGAAAAAGTTAGTCAGCCACCTTTTCTCTTCTCTCAGGTGTAAATTGATAATTTTTCCCAGGCTCCCCAAAGATCTCATTCTAACATTTTAATTCATTTTCTCTCTCTTTTACTGTACATGCAATATGGGCATTTAAATAGCAACAAGCCCATTTAACTTAAGAAATCCAAGATGCATGGAGGGAGCTAAAGCTTGGGCCTGAGAACTGATGTTGACCTGGACCTTCCTTTGGTAGTCTTAGGACCTGTGATTTCAGGTTCTTTCCATCTGGAATAAATTGCCGTGCTTATTGATCTATATCTTTAGAAAGTATTCTTAATTTTGTTTTGAAAGTCGTAAAGAATATCAAAGGCTGGAATGTGAGATTGTTAATACAAACACATTTTAAATCATGTCCTTCTTAAGATCCCAAATCCCCATCTCTTATTCAAACTAATCCCCTTTTATTGATGAAAACCATTTTACCACACCCATATACAGGGACCTGTACTGATCACCTTAGGAGCTTATTTGATTCTTAAATTACCTCCAAACTTCTCATAGATTTTCATGTGCCATCGAGTCAAAACTGACTCATAGCTGACTGACCCTTCAGAAGTTTTTCAGAGGCTATAACAGCATGGGAGGAGATTGCTCATATTTCTTCTGTGGAACACTGGTGGATTTGAGCCACTAGCCTTTAGGTTGGTAGCACAACTCGTTACCCACTAGGCCGCAAGAACTCTAACAGATTAACAGAATAGAAATAGGATTTTATCCATATGAATGCCATATAACTGAACATAGCTGTGCTGACCTTCAGAGAGAAATGGGATTGTTCAGGAAAGATGTGAGAAGTTCCATAGCCAGGAATAAAGGTGGCACCACATTTCTCTCTATAACTGCAATTATTTTTTCTTTTCCCACTTACTCATAGTCATTGAGTTTCCGAGGCTTTAAAAGCATAAGAGAAGATTGCTCATCTTTCTCCTTCAAAGTTACTGGTGGAATTGAACAGCTATAGAAGCTTGTCTTTTAAATTAGTGGTGCAATTCCCTATAGACTAGGCCACCAGAGCTCACTTTAGAACTTAGACCCCACAATTTCCAAAATGAATTTTAATTATAATTATAAAATAAAAATAATACGAGGCTATAAATTTAAAATAAATATCCAAATAAATTAAAAGAACAGAGGAGTACATATAAGTACATATGAACACTGAATTTAGTTTTGACCTTTTTCAAAGGAAACAAATAGTTAAACATGTTGAATACATTGTTCTGTCACATAATGTTGTTTGTTATTGTTATGTGCTGTCAAGATGCTTGTGACTCATACCCACCCTATGTACAACAGCTCTGAACCCTGCTCTATCTTGAGCCAACCTTATCATCTTGGACACACCTACCCCAGTCACTGAGTCAATCCATCTCATCAAGGGTCTTCCTGTCTTGTGCTGTCCCTCCACCCTCCCAACATTGATATCCCTCTCCAAGGACTGGTCCCTCCTTGCAACATGTTCAAAGTATGTCAGAAGAAGCTTCAGAATTCTTGTCTCCAAGGTGCAGCCTGGTTTCACCCTTGCTAGGACAAACCTGTTTGTTCTCTTAGCAGTCCATGGTATACTCAATACTCTTCTCCAACACCACATCTCAAAGGCATCATTTCCTCTTCTATCATCCCTACTCACTGTCCAGCTTTCTGATCCATAGCAAGTAATTGTGAAGATTATGGCCTGGATCAGGTGCACCTTAGTTTCCAGAATGACATTATTGCTCTTCAGCAGACTTTCAATAAAGGGGTCCTGCCCCGTTATATCAAGCAGTTTCACCGAGAGAAGGGACCAGGATTAAATGAAGACACAGAGAGGCTACCAGCTCATGGTGGATAGCAGAGTTTATTCCTGAGCTCCTGTGTTATATTCTTTTTGTAGTGAACAGAAAAACAACTCAGCCTCAAGTCCGACAATACATTTGTTTTGATATCCCTGCCACCTGCAAGCAAGGCTTCCAATTAGCAAGCAAAGCCATCAGAACAGAGTCTTTAGGGGGGGACAATACCATTCCGCACATCCCTGCTTGACCTTGGGGTTCAAGGAACGGTTAAACTTGCTTTTGCTCCTTTTCAAACATCTGCACATTTGAACCTGGCATAAAATGGCTACTTGCTTGAAATGGCTGCAGTATGGCTCACTTTTTAACATCCTACTTCCTTGAGTTGTTTTTTGTCAAACAGATACTATAGCCAAGATGGAGTTAGTCTTGCTGGTCTTTTGGTACAGGGCTAATCTTGCTTTACAAGTTAGCCAGGCCTCAACATTTCCCAATTAAATTTATCTTTTGATTTCCTGGCTGCTGGTGCCATGAGTTTTGATTGTGGATCCAAGCAAACCAAAGTTGTTAACAATCTCAATCTCTTCACAGTCTATCATGATGTTACATAATACTAAACAAACAAATTAATCTTAAGAAAACCTTTTTTCTTTAGTTTTAATTTCTAAAAGGTCATTTTTTAAAAATTAGTCTTTACCTAAGGGATATGGGAAATGTAATAGAAAATAATCTTCAAGTGTGGTTTGTTCAACAGTCAAAATGAACACAGTTACTAGTATTTTTATTGAAAACTCTCAAGAATTGAGCTTATGCAGAGGTAGAACTCAGACAACCTAGGGAAAATGTATAGCTTGCCCACTTCACTAGGTATGAGATAACTCAAATAAGACTTTGGCAAGCTCAGGCTCATATGGTGGCAGTCTCTGCTTTTGTCACATGTAGTATCTAAAGAACATGATGGCCCTTTAATGTAATACCACCAAACCTGGCCCTACAGGCCATGTATGATTTGTATTCTCACTTATGATAGAGGGTCAGTTTACTTCCAAGTGTGAGTGAGAAGTGCAGATGGCAGTATCAAAATAGTACACAAGAAAGGAGCTTTGGATTTGTGCAAGTGGAACTAACACTTAAACAAGAATAAAACAAACAGTTACTGAAACCCTAAATGAATCCAGAGGTTTGTATATATGTGGTCTCTTGTAATCCACACAACCATCCTATGAGGCAGCCACATGACACAGGTGAAAACACTGAGAATCAGGGAGAAGTCATTTGCTCTAAGCCACAGAGCCAGCAAGAGATGGAGCTGAGATGGAAACCAGGTCGGCTTTCGAAATCCATGGATTTGAACAAGTAATTTTCATTTTTGATCCCCCAACCACACCAACCAAGGGCACTATCATACTTTATAATATGAAGATAAAATGCAATTGGAAAAATAAGACAATATGCACAAAGATTTAAAGGCACTTTGGGTAGGAGATATATATATGGTTGAGGGTGCCATGGACTGCTAGGAAAACAAACAGATTCTTCTGGGAGAGGGTTAAACCAGGCTGCTCCTTGGAGGCAAGGATTCTGAGGCTTCGTCTGACATATGTTGGTCATGTTGTAAGGAGGGATCAGTCCTTGGAGAGGGACATCATGCTTGGAAGGGTGGAGGGCAGGAGCAGGAGGGAAAGGCCCTTGGGGAGATGGATTGATTTGGTGACTGGGGCAATCGGGATGAGTGTGTCGGAGACAGTGAGATTGGCACAGGACAGAGCTGTTGTACATAGGGTCTCTATGAGTCGCAAGCGACTCGACGGCACATAAAAACAACAACAACAACAACAACAACATCTATCTCTATCTCCTATATCTATGTCTATCTATAGCTATATCTATATTTTTTTGTTGTTTCTGATATGGCGCTCCCCATGCTAGGTTCCCAGACATCACCTCCAGATAGCCCCTCAGGCCACTGAGCTTGACATGTGATTCTCTCTTAGAAGTAAGATGCCACACATTGCCATTCATTGCTAGTGGCACCTACACCTGCACAAATGGAGTGCTTCTTGACTCCCGCTGTGACTACAGCTGTTCCAGTGGCTACTCCCTGGAAGGTGACCGAAGTCGCATCTGTATGGAAGATGGACAGTGGAGTGGAGGCGAGCCTGTATGTGTAGGTAAATGCTGAACTCTCCCAGTTGTCGTGCTGCCAAGAACCCTCCTAGTGTGATACCCACAGAGTATGTGTAACTTTCACTACAGAAGAGTCTTATACTCAATGAGGGTGGCTCATGGGGTATATGCTTAACAAAAGATTAATTTTTCATGGATCTAGGCTTCTAGCCTCAATTTCTTTGAGCACCTTGAAATGAAAGTGTGTTTTTTACCTACCCAATAATATATTATTGCTTCCATGGGTCCCCTTGAGGGAAGGCAGGGGAACTCAGGAGTTAGCATTTGATTTCTGACCTTGGCAGATATAGAGCCCCCCAAGATCCGTTGTCCCCACTCACGAGAGAAAATGGCAGAGCCAGAGAAGTTGACTGCCCGAGTATACTGGGATCCACCATTGGTGAAAGATTCTGCTGATGGTACCATCACAAGGTGAGAGCTCCAGGAATAAATGACCATATTCCCACAAGTTTCTCCCAGGTCCTCAGGCTGCCAACACTGAGCTACACAGGATGAAGCTACAGTGATGGTGTGTCCCAGAACTTAATCCAAAGTTTCGCCTTCCTTAGGGGTTCTTTTCACTCTGTCTCATACAGGATAACACTTCGGGGCCCTGAGCCTGGTTCTCATTTTCCTGAAGGATATCATGTGATTCGTTACACTGCCTATGACAGAGCTTACAATAGAGCCAGCTGCAAGTTCGTTGTGAAAGTACAAGGTCAGATAGAATTATTCTGTTAATATATGATTCATTATTCCTGATCTTTATACCATCCCCTTTCACATGCTCATTAACACACACTCTTCTCCATGCCTGAAATAATAGCCTAGTGATAAGATATTGCACTACAATCCCAAAAGTACACAGCTCAAATCCACCAGGAGGATGGGCAAATTCCTCCTGTGCAATTAACTGCCTCTGAAAACCTGCTGGAGGGTCAGCTGCAATTCAATTGTAAACAACAACAACATTTGTAGTAGATGATGAAAAAGAATTCAACAAAATAGTCTACATTACTTATGCACATACACATTTCAGAAACTCTTACTTACCAGTGTAGAACATTCCCATTCTCCCATATCTAGGTAAAAATCACAAAGATCTATATCTATTTCATTCCTTCATCTCCTAAGTCAGAGATAGATTGAAAATGCAATCAAGATGCATTCATGATAACGAGTGATTGGAATGCAAAAGTTGGGAATAGAGAGGAAGGATTGGTAGTTGGAAAACATGTACTTGCTGGCAGCAATGAAGCTAGAGATAGAATGACAGAATTTTGCACAATCAATGATTTTACTCATTGCAAATACATTTTCTAAGAAACATAAACACAGGCTATACACATGGATTTCACCTGATGATATGCACAGGAATCAGATTGATTACATCTGTGGAAAGAACCGCTAGAAAAGCTCAATATCAGCTGTGAAAACTAGGCCAGGTGCTGCTTGTGGAACAGACCACCAACTACTCCTATGCAAGTTCAAGCTGAACCTAAGGAAAATGGAATCAAATCCATGGGAACCAAAATATGACCTTGAGTCTATCCCACCTGAATTTCAAAACCATCTCAGGAACAAATTTGAGGTTCTGGACTTTAATGAGCAAAAACTGGATGGGTTATGGGAGGATATCAAGAATATCAACCAGGAAGAGTGCAAAAGATAATTATCAAGACAGAGGAGGAAGAAGAGACCAAAATGGATGTCAGAAGAGACTCTGAATATTTTACTAGAGTGCCAAGAAGCTGAAGCAAAGGGAAGAAATTAAGATATCAAGGAGCTGAACAGAAGATTTCAAAGAGCAGTGCAGGAAGACAAAGTAAAGTATTATAATGAAATGTGCAAAGAGCTGGAGTCAGAAAATCAAAGGGACTGAACTTGCTCAGCATTTCTTAGGCTGAAGGAACTGAAGAACAAATTCAAGCCTCAAGTTGCAATACTTAAGGATGCTTTGGGTAAATATTAAATGATCCAGGAATTATTAAAAGAAGATGGAGACCAACCAGAAGGCCCACACTGCCAGACCGACCAGAACGCTCACGCCACCAGACCAACCACTCTGCCATGGCACACTCGCCCCTCCAGACATCTGCAACCTGACTGAGGTACTCACGCATCACTACCTGGAAGCTAGCCCCAATGGGCACAAACTGTACAGCTGCAACCTGAGTGAGATCCCTGAGTTCCCACAGGGACAAGTAACCCCACCAGACACGAGCAGAACATCTGCAAACTGAGTGAGTTCCTTGTGTATGTACCCACACATCAGACATGGGCAGGTAGCCCGGCTGGACAAGAGGGGGAACAGTTGCAAACTGAGTGAGGTCATGGCATGTGCCCATCTGGAAGCCAGCTCCACTGGGCACCAGCAAGACATCTGTAATCTGAGTGAGGTCCCTGCGCATCCACACCCAGGAAGAAAACCCCCCCTGGCACAAATGAGACAGCTGCAAACTGAGTGAGGTATTCCCACATGCCCAACTGGACAGCTAGCCCCGCCTGCACAGCTTGCCCACCAGGCAAGAGCCATAAAGCTGTGGCTGAAGCCTGAGTGAGGTCCCTGCATGTAGCGTCTGAGAATATGCCCTCCTGGAATATGCCTGTGCTTGTGTCTACCCTGCCTGTTCCCCTCTACCCCCAAGCCTCACATCTTCTCATATCCAGTCAACTTACTGCCTTTAATCCAGAACATCTTGGTCTGACTTAGCTGTAACAATTATCCAACAGAACAGGCCATATTCACAAGCCACAAACAGACACTTGCTTTGGTTCAGGAATTCAGAGAGGAACACAGGCAACATAATTGCTAAACCCTCATCTGTAGCAATGATTTCAGATCAAGAGCCTATCATCACCTCAGACATGAAAAACCCTACGGCAACATCATCACGAAAGAAACAGGCCACCTCACAAGCTACACAAGCACAAATCAAGATGTCACCCTCAAAAAAGTGACACAATACCAATGGATTTCCTAAAGCCAGAAAGTTGGATGGAACTTTCTGACACATTATTATAAAAAAGCTCAATAATTGAATATTTTCAGTGGGTGAAAGGCAAACTTGATTACAGGAAACTGCAAGTAAAAACCAGGTGGAGCTTAAAAAAAAACCCAAAAAGCAAACAATCCAACCATAAAAAAACAATGCAGATAAAGCAAACAAGGCATTATAGGCTCTGGAAAAAGAAGAAATCATGATCCAAAATATGAGGTCCAATGCTTCAGATGCCGTCAACATGATAGAGGGTCATATGAACAGAGTTGAAGAGATGGAACACAGGATTAGTGAAATTCAAAATAGAATTGTCACCATTGATCTGCTAGAACAAAAAGCAGAATCAAAAAGGAAGGAAAAAGAAGAAAACCTAAGAATAATGTGGGACACCATCAAGAAAAATAATATGCACTTCATAAGAACCCCAGAACAGGAAGAAGCAACTAAAGGCACCAAAAACCTTGTGGGAGATTTACTGAAAGAAAACTTCCCAGGCATAATTAAGAATGAGAGAATATATATTCAAGAAGCAGAGAGAACATGATATAGACTAGACCCCAAAAGAAAAACACCAAGGCATATCACAGTCACATTTGCCAGAACCAAAGATAAGGAGAGAATTCTGAAAGCAGCGAGGGAGAAAGAAAGAGTAACC